TCTTTCAATGCACAGTCAATCTGTGCTGTATACTTCTTTCCCTCACCATCGTCATCCACATTCACGGCTTCGCTTCCACCTAGTCATGCATACTAATCTGTGCAGTAACTTGGAGCAGTGGCCAGCCGCTGCCTGCCTGTCCCATCAAACATGCATAAGAAACAGATGTATCTTTGATGTAGGCTTGTTCATGTTGCCCCATGTGCATGAGTGTGTGAATGAGTGTGTGTGTGTGTGTGTATGTTTATGTGTGTTCGTCAGTGTGCTTCCAGGCCCTGCGGGTGCAAGCCAGACTCGGGAGATGCAGCTGCATGCCCCAACACACACGAAGAGAGGGAAGACATAGATCTTTGGCAGGACAAATAATCAATGCAGCAATATATTGCCATACATTATCTTTCAATGCATAATTCATATGAATGTGTGTGACCCCAGTGTATAGTAACATACTGTATGCACTGTGGATTTTATTCAGATAGTTTCTGCATTAAATCACTATTAAGTTTTCTTTTGCCCTGAATCTGATTAAAAAGATTACATCTCAAATATAATCTCACCAACATTTAAACTGAAGTTGTTCTTCTCTCTAGCGTTTCAGCCTTTTGCCACTTTAGTTTGGCACATATACATGTGCTACTGTAATGTACATTTGTTAAAAAAGACTAAGATTAAATGCACTGTGTTACACATTTCCATCATCATTAATTATTGTAGAAAATGTAATTCAAATAGGTTCAAGTTGTGGTCTTCAGTTACATGGTACATTCATACTTTTTCTTTATGAAGTATCACATACTGAGTATTTATCTGTATTATTATACCATCAATATTATGGAGAGCACATGGTAATAATTTTAAATGTGTTACCCTATGATTTCTTTTTCTAAAGGTTCCACAATCATGCAGAGACCTTTCAAAGCACAGCTAAAATGATTAGTTGATCAACAGACAATTAATCCACAAAAATTCAAAAATAAAATGTAATGTTTTGGTAATTTTTCAAATAAAAATGACAATCCCTCATTCCATCTTCTGAATTATGACGAATTGTTGCTTTTCTTTATCTCAAATGATAGTAAACTGAATATGCTCAGACTGACAGTCTGACATCACCTTGGCTTGTTTTAGGAAAAAGTGTGATGGGCATTTTCAGCATTTTCTAACATTTAATAACCCAGAGAGTGATTTACTGTTTACCCAACAGCAACCTTTGCTGAATGCAGTAGCTATGCTTTAATGTTCTTTGGGTAATTTGAGAGATTCGTCATTAGAAAAATAAAAGATAATTTATATTATTAAAATAATTAAATAGAAGGCTTCCTGCTTCATAGTAGTTTGGTCTCCCTAGTGTTTTGACCACCCAGTGTTTTATGAGTGGATGCTGACTTTAGGATATTTTGCTGGCGTTGCAACTAATGACAAGTATGGCACTGGTCCATCAGACTGTCATCTTTTAGCACCTGGAGTTGTGAAAACTTCCTTTGCTCAAGATTGTAAACAAGTATAATCATGAGTCATCAGAGGGGAGAGCTTATCCTGCTTGTCATTAGCCTCACTCATGCCAGGAGCTGACTGATTTGCTTTGTCTGGATGTGTGTAGCCTACTGTATGCATGTGGTTATATCTGTACTAGTGACACTACCACTCCCCATGTGTCCCCTCCTGTCTGCACATGTGTCCATGACCATGTAAAGTGACCCTGACCCCACCTTCCTACCCTCTACACACACACACACACACACACACACACACACCCTATGAAACGTACAATGACACACATTTGCTTCCCCTCATGTAAGCATTGCCCCCCACTCGCCCACACACACATCTTTTTCCTTTTCCCCTAAGACAATTGTGTTGCTCACTCTCTATTGTGGAAGCCTGTCATTTCCACATATGTGTTGGCCATAAAACAGCAAAGAGCCGACTAAAAGCATCCCTTTCCTGGCTAGCAGGGTCACAATTTGTCTCATATAAACACAGGACACACCTCATCCTAGCAGTTTTCACATATCCTTCTGACCCCCTTACCACCCAAAGTGCTCTTCTTTCCACTGACACAGGATCCCAATAACTAAACGTTTGTAAAGCGCCTATCTTTCTTTGACGTTTTCATGCAGAAGAGTAAAGGGGGACAACATAACAATCTTGGTGGTTTTGTTTTAGACTTGCAGTGAATTTTTACAGGAGTTTTCGTTCTGGGAAAGTCTTAGAAAAGCAAAGCTCAACACTGGCGCTGGTGTCTTTTGTGCCTCCCAACGTGCCTCGCGCTGGGTTTCCCTAGCATTGTCATGACAACAGTGTGTACGCACCGACACTGGCCTTTGAAAACAATACACCGACCAAAAGTTGACTGAAGTGAGCTAACAAGCTACTTTCAGTCGTATCTGAAAAGTTTGCCCGAATAAAAAACACTGAAGAAAAGTCGCGACTGAAATGTTCCTCTTTCGCTCTAGCTAGAGGCAAGTGCACAAGTGTCTAATGGAGACAAAAAAAAGTGTACAAAGATGCATTCATTCTCATACCTTCTTAACGAAGAAATCTCCGTTCCCTTTACAAGTATTCCCGAGCCGTGTGTGGGTTAGCAACCCGCCAGTATGATCAAAACATAAAGTTTTCTACACCAGTACTAACATTTTCTAAGCATGTATCCTAAACGCTGCGAGGACTAGCACAACACGACATGTGAGACTCAACTTCCAGCGGTAACTTTCTCCGCCCAGACTCATTCTCAACTCTTCTGCCTGTGTCTATCATAGGATGCTTTGCTCCGCCTCACTCAGCCCTGAAGATAAATGACTATTATCCAAGAGATTTATAGTTTGTGCCTCTTAACTCATGGGAGTCCGTCTTTTTTCACAAAGATTTCCTTAATTTTCCACCAGGGTTACATTTGTATGATTCTCACATCCACACAAACACTAGGTTCCAGTGTTAACTTCACTCATTGTGAGCTTTCCTCCTTTTGGTACAAACACAGTCCAGGTTCATTCTGGTGATTGATTGCTCACAGGACAATTATCTTAATTAGACATTAATGGGTTTTTAGACTTCGCACTGCTATCTCATTATTGAAGTATATGGACCCGGTTGATATTGGCCTAATCCTTTGAACTTCCCCGGTTCAAACAACCCGGGTGACACCGGCATTAACAGAGATAATCCAGACTCACTGAATGTTTCACATGCTATTCTTTATCCTAATGAAATTTAAATTTCACTCACAGTTTAAAAGGAATAGCACACAACTCAACATAGTAAACAAAACAGGGTGAAATTAAATTCTCAATGAATTATAGTCAGTGGACAGATTTCGTGTATGTCTATTGTTAGAGTAATCAGCAAATATGAACATCAAATAAACTTAAGATAAGGAAAGTTCTCAGCAATGTTTTATGAGTGAATTTCAATTAAGACTGGTCATGGTTTGTATCTTACTAAAAAGTTAAGTTCAAATGGCCACACTATTTAGGTTGACTGGAAATAATAAATTTCCCTTTAGAGAAAAAAAAAACTTTACAGCAATATTACATGAGCCCACATATACAAATGCACCAACATTCAAGTAGGCTTAACAGCTGTAACATTGCATTAAGAACAATAGGTCACAATAAACTGTACTGTTTGGTACAAAAACAAAGAATATGAGGGGCATATTTTAACTTTAACTTTTGATTTACATTATCACAATACCAGACAATAACCCTAACTAAAGATGCATCTTATATGACTTATAAGCATACGTGGTGCTGTGTGGTAGTGTATGGCCTGCAACTATGGCTACCAGAAGTAAATAAGTAGAGACCAGCCTGACAGACTGTTATTTTCCCACAGTGTCATTCTGCAAGAACTTGAAAGCAGACAAACAGATAGACAATCACTAAACCATCAGAGGATTGTAATGTCTGCTGAGAGCAGATCTGTGGTGATAAAGCTGCAGGCCATCAAAAGTAGTAGAGGCACCAGTAGCCATGATTAGTACATCTTAGACTGCAGTTCATGTGCTTCAAAGCAATCACACATAAGAAAACAGATCAAAGAAAAATTCACCCAAGTGCTACTTTAAACATTAGAGCATTAGTGACACGTAACACTTGTGATATATATATATATATATATATATATATATGTTCTGTTCATTATCTTCAGTTTTTTGCACAATTTTAGTAGCTGCATCATAACATATCATATCATATCATATCATATCATATCATATCATATCATATCATATCATATCATATCATATCATATCATATCATAGGGCACTTCACTTGTCTCCTACAGTAAGTCTGCTCCCATCAAGTGTAGCTGATGCAAACCAGAGGCTGATGGATAAAGAACTTCCACTGACCTCACCATTGTTGGATGCTTTAGATAACTGTCATTTCTAGAAACAGCGATGAGGCTTGCAGAGAACGAGATATAAATTTTCGAGATGTGAAATTATCTGTTTTATTGCATTCAGAACAAGGCCCACACGTTGTTGAACACAACAGTTCAAATCAGATTGTTGATGGTTCAATTCCAATACCACTAGATGACACTAGAGTGCCATCATCTGACACTGGCATGGAAGTAGAATGGGAATACTCCGCGATATGAAACTTGATTTAAATCTGGTCATAACTTGGATATTTGTACAATATATGCTAACATAAGGAAAGGTAAATACGACATGACACATTTCAACATTAGTCTATTTTAGTAAGGCAGAGAATATATGTTTTTTGGTTATTTATGTTTGTCAGTGGTGACGACATTCGTACCCAGCTATCCTAGTTGAAAATGTCCGTGTTGAGCCTGGGAAATGTAGTTTTCTACCTTTACATTCTTGAACGTATTTTACGTACGTTTACTGGCGCTCCCCCGCAGCAAACAACCCCTTGGTACGCATTTGACGTACGTTTGCTCTCTGTTTGCTCCTTGGAGATTCCCCTTCCTTCCTGGGCTGTCTGAGGTAAACCAACACGGTCGCATCAGTCCCGTTAATACCTGGCGGAGTGAAAATAAACTACACATATACATGTTTGTCACACGCAACCGCGGCGAAGAGCGCGTAGCTAAAGCCTGGAGAGGTTACGGTAGCTAAAGTACAACCCGGGAAGAACTTATCGTCTCGATGGCTGTGAAAAGTTAACGCTCAGACGACTGAAAAACAGGAATAATTCCCTTCTACCGACTTGAGGTAAGAATAACCGGTTTTTGAGTGAGCTTTACGAAGTACACAGCTGTCGGACAGCGTCGATAATGTCGACCAAATGAGTGAATATAGAGTGTCTTTGTTTACAAGGACCCCGGCGTCTTCGGCTCCCGCTGTCTCAATGGGACTGTTCAGAGTTTTCATCTGGCTACACTGTATGGCTAATGTTAGCGTTACTGACAGGGCTCACAGGCTTACACTTTGTCCACAAATAGATCGATTATGTGACAGTGTCTCGTATAATTAACAGTGGTTACACATAACGGCTGTGGAGTTTACTTGATTCCCCTCTTTTTGTGCTTCAGTTTACATAACAGTGTAATACAACGACAACATGGGCATTTTTCTTCTGCTTGTCAGTTTGGGGGAGTTGGGCGAGTCAGAGTGCAAGGTCAGGTCGATAAATTAGCATCCAGATACTACAGAAGCACATTGACTTGCTCATTGACTCTTCAGCTTGGTGGATGATATGTGTCCACAGACCTGACCTCAGCTTATCCAGTTGAAGCTTTGGCTGTACTGTAGAACTGACAGCAAAATAAAATCTAGACTGTTTACATGGGGCTGCTTGAAAGTGAACTTGTCGAGGGATGTCTAATCATTTGTGTTCTGCTTTGAGCATGTCCACTGGAGAGAGAGAGAGAGAGAGAGAGGGAGAAAGCTTGCCACAGTCAGGACATTTTGGGTGGTGTAGAAATGACAACTTACAATGTACCGTGAAATCAGCTCACATCCTCCCTTTCCCTTCTTCCCCCTCTGTGTCCCTGGAGAATAGAAATGAAATCCAATCTCTCTCTCTCTCCCTCCTTCTCTCTCTTTCTCTCTGGCACTGGCTGTGTCAGCTGCTGTATCCCAGGGTGCTGACTTGCATAGAGACAGGTGGCACTTGGACAGGTGCAGCCTTAACAAAAGATTGCAGTCCTCAGACTTCTGGCCTGGTTTATGTTCAGTTTTGTTTGTTTGTTTGTTTTTATTGTAATTTATTTTTTGGTTGCTCATCAGTGTAGTTTTTGCTGCCTTATACTTACAATATGTGCAAGCTGCTATGGTAATTCAGTTATATCTGCATTTATGTTCTGCTTTGTAGTTGTTAGTATGTCTTCTTAGTAAATCTGATACTCTGATAGATTTGGCTAAATTGAAACACCCCAGTGTGATAGTACAACCTGCTTGCTTTTGGTCTTTGAATGGAGTTTTATAGCTGATACAAGTAAATTGTTAGTGTCCTGCTTTCAGTATCACACAGGCTTTCTTGAAAGCTCCAGTCATCAGTCATGCATTCTGGTATTGGGGTTGGACTTACATCCACATCAGCAAGTATGTTACATATTGTTTGCTTAAGTCAACTTTACCAGACAGACCAGTTTCAGTCGCAACACTGCATGAGAAACACACCCTTGTGGCCCCTGTGAACCTGGTTAGACTATGTTTCAGACAAATGACTAGGCACACCTTCAGTCTGCTTGAGCTGCACTGGTACTTCATGGTTAAAAGTTAACCCAAAGCTTCCTCTGCAACAAATGATTCAGAATATAAAAATATGTGGTACGAGTTAGGCCTTCATACACTGTTTTAATAGTGAACACTGTGAATTCAGAGCCAGAACAAGAGCTCAGGAATGAGGTCAGTAAAACGATATGAAGTGGAAGAGAGAGGAGAGGGAAAGTTTGAAGGCTTATCTCAGTAATGTGCAGGGACAGTTGAGCAATGATGAATGTTGCAGTCACCACTGTCTTCTACTTAACCCTTTACTATCTCCTCTGGCAGTGCCCTTGATAGTTAGCCTTATCTCTCTCAAGAAACCAACAGAAAAACATAAGGACATTTCGACTGTAAGACAGTGTCTGAGTGTTTTTACCGCCAAGTGTTTTCCCAGAATGAACAAGCCTCATCTTGTCCGATCTGTTTCTGACATCCATCACTGGCAGTCATTACCCTGGGATACTATTCACATTAATGAGTGAGACCTCTCTGTCTTGGACTCTATTGAGGTTTATTTAAATCTCGTGAACGCAGCCTTCCAGCTTTTCTCTGCTCCCCGGGCCAGTGCGCCTGCGCTCTGCTGACACTCCAGTAATCCGCTGTTAGGAGGAGATTGCATCCCCGTCCACTGCGCTCAGGCTATCAGCGAGGGAGAATTAAAGCCCCTGGAAGAATATATGACGCTACATTGGGACAATAAGGACATATAATGGGAGCATAACAAACCCAAACGGAACCATTATAAACAGGCATTCTGGGATGGAGCAGTTTTACACTGTGAGCAGTCTAACATCCAAGGCGACAACGGGACTGGAAGGAGGATGTCTCCTAATGTAAGACAACCAGGCTCAACATCTACAGCCCAAACGCTGGGAATGTGAAACGAACACAGGCAGGAATGAAGCCGGCGGGAGATGGTGAAATTTGCGGTTGAGTGCGCCCTCTTGGAGGAGACCTCCTCGGCTATTTCCACGTTTCCTAAACGTGTATGTCGCCCACTGCACGGTACTCTCTCTGGCCTCTGAGCTGCTGCGTGGAAACGGACACAGACCACCTTCTTATATTAGTAATGCTCTGCAGCGCTGTTAATAGGCTAAATTGAAAACCTATGTATGCGTTCATTATCGGTTATTGATCGTATGAGCGTATAACATTCACTGAGACTGGGAAGCTAAACTATAGATTTAAGCCCATGTGATCCCTGTGTTGGTGCCATGATAAACATCTAATACTAAATGTAAATTAAAGCTAAAACAAACCACGGAATACAGCTGACCTTAGACTTCGGCCTCAGGGTTTTTACAAGCTATCGATACTCGTCAAAGTGCATGCAAATGTGATTTCTCCCCCTTGGCGGAATCATTCGCTGGAATGATACTTGTTTCCCTCAGCTGCTTCGCCTGTAGAGACTTGCTATGACAGGCTGGCAAGTCCACATAAATCCAAGAGCAAGTTGATGAACTAGACCGGGCGGCCTCGGCGGTGGGATCAGACAGAAATTAAGCTGTGTCTCTCAGACAGCGGAAACTAGGATCATCTCCCGTCCTTGCGTTGGCAGAGCACCGCAGCCTGAAACGGAACATTCCTCTCGGGTATTTTGTCGGATGTTACACAGAACTTCAAGCTGAGCTGTAAATATTTTCACGCTGTGGCAACAGTTGAAGTTTAAAGAGCAGCTCTTTTAGAACTCAACACCTCCCTGTACCCGGGGTTTCTTCAGGTTAAATTCTGAAGTTCGTGTGAGTTGTTGTTGTCGTTTTTTTTTTGTTTTTTCTTATGTTGAAATCCAGAATTCTGCAAATACCAGAAGTGGCCTCAATTCTGAAAAAAACCCTTCCCAAAGGTTTCAAACATGAGGTTTTATCCAGTGGGAGAAATGCAGCTGGGGTGTTTTACTGGTAAACCTCCACAGCAGCTGTTAGTCAGACTGGATGTCTGAAAGATGAGACTTGGACATTAGCATACTTGTAGGTTTGCCAACACCCTTCCAAGGAAATGCAATGCATTGATTTTTCTGCATTGCCCACATTGTAAATAACTCTGTGAATATATTCTGCGAGACTTTGATTCCAGCAAGTTCTATGCCATCATTGATCAGTATCAGCTGTCTTTATGGACCTTGATATTATTGTGACATCCCCGATGGGTTCCCCCCACCCCCTCCTTGAACCGTATGCTTTCCACAGGTGCACTGTGTGACTGCTGAGATGCTGAAAGACAGTGAACACATGTTCTTCTGCACACATCTTTTCCTGCTTATGCCGAACGTCTGACCATGTGCAAAGGAAAAAGGAACCAGGCATGAGACTGCACAGACTGGGGAGATGTGTCAGAGGGAACGCGGGAGGAATTATGAGTGGCACTATGGAAGACATGGTGCAGAGTGCTACAGGCTTAAAGTCTACAAGAGACAGAATTATGAGCCTTTGCTGTGAGAAAATTGTTTTCTCCTCTCAGAGACCAACTGCTGCATTGGAATCAGCGCTCCACACATCAAATTACTATTTGAATTGAGAATTTCTTCCTGTGCACTGTAGGAAAATCCACCCTGATCTGCATACTTGGCCACCTGCAAGTTAGACTCATTTTTGAGTACCCTTATCTTTGATTCCCTGTTGCTGTGTTTTTCATTTGTTTTTACACAAACGCTCTCGGAGCTCTTTTGCAGGAGGAAATTCTTCCTATTCGAAGCATGAAACTTGTTAACAAGAAGTTTACAGCAAATAGAAACACATGATAAGGCTTGCTGGTGTAGTCAAAACAACCCCCTTAGTATCCTCCCAATCAGTGTGTCTCACTGAATACAACTGTGGATCCCTTGTCAACTTTTGTGCTCTAGGGGCAAACAAAACAAGCAGATCTCTCTATCAGAGTGCATTCAGAGACTAATTTCCTATCGCTGTGGCGATGGGGAGCTCAGCCTCGTCTCTCACTGCAGAGACTGAGTCGGACCATGGCTTCCGCAGCACCCCCTATCCATCGTCACCCCCTGTGGGCTGGCTCAGGAACAGCCACAGCAGCCCGGTGTGGGGCACCACCTTCATCACACGTCAGCAGCAGCACCCACTGCCTCATCGAGAGCGCAGGTAAGAGCCAGCCGTCTAACCAGCCTCTCAGTTGAGTGCACTTGGGGCAAGACTGGACTGGCTTGGCTGGTTGTTGGGGAAGTCGTAGGAGGAATGAGTAGTGGGGGTTGTATTACACAGGACTGCTGTCATTTAAAGCTGTGGGTGTAAGTGTGCTTGTGCTGATGTTGTATTTGGCTTCAGTATTTGGGTGATGTGTGCTGTAAAATGACACTGTTAATCAGTGTTGTTCATTTGAGAAACTTAATGCTGTCTCTTTCATAGACTTCTATAAATGCTTACCGAGGATTCAATAACCTCACAGCTATGGATCAAATTCACTGTTTCATCAAAGCTTATCTAATCAAAGCCTACATTTTGATGTTTTTTTCTATGATGCATCCAAAATCTCGCTAAGCCGGATTTGTAAACCAAAAT